TAGACCTGAGGGAAAAAAGAAGAGGAAAAGAGGGAAGGAGAGCAGACGCCACCGCAGCTGGAGTAAGGAGTGGCGGATCCAGGGACAAGGGAAAAGGAGAAAGAGGGAGGAGAGGAAAGAGGGAAGAGCCAGAGATGCGAGTATGGGCTGCCAGCGAAGACCGTAAGAGCGTAGGAGAGGAGGGACAGAAGCAAAGGGAAGTCGAGAGAGTTGAGAGTTGGGGAAGGAGGAGGAGATTGTTGAGTTTCAGCGAAGATGGAGAGGAGAAGGAGGCGCAGTATGAACCCGGGGTCAGACTGTCATACCCCGGCACGGAGAGCTACATCTCCTTTCCACAGCCAAGTGACAACAACAACCAGTACAGCTACAACCTGAACTCCCATCTGACTGACACGCTCAGAAAAGAAGACGAATTCATCGAGGAGAAATTCAAAGGGTTAATAGCTGTGGATGACAAGCAGAGTGATATGAAAGTAACCTCCTCGTCTGTCTTCTCTCATCAACGTCGGCCTCCCCGCTCCCTCCTTTCTCCTACCCTCCAACCTCCTCTCTCCACCCTCTCCCTCCTCTACCAGTTTGGAGCCGGGGAGAAACACACCCTCCTCCCCCAGCCTGTCCCTTTGTCTTTACAACGGGGCACCTCCCTGCTGTCTCCTCCTCTGACTCCTCTGCTGTCCCCTACACCCCCACCTTTCTCGTCCTCGCTCCTGTCAGTGCGGCCGACTATGAACGACTTTGCCAGGAAGGTGGAGGGCTTCTGGATATTGCGGGAGCTGCAGAGTTGGCTGTGGCGATCGGCAAAAGACTTCAACCGTCTCAAGAAGAGGTTCCGAGGTTGAGACACTGAAAATTGAACTTTACCAGTGCACACACACACACACACACACACACACACAGACACTCGCATACCGTGAATAAGAATGGTTTACACACCCTTGTTAAAATGCCAGGACACTAAGACATTCGATTTTGGAACTTGGAAGTAAAATTTCAAGAAAACAAACTAAAACCAATATTGGAAATAAATTGAATAAAACAAAAGTAGTTGCATATGTATACACACCCTTAATCCACTACCTTGCCTTTGCACATTTATAACAGAAGTCAAGCTTTTGGTTCGGAGTCCGTCCACATGACACGTCTTGTCTTGGCAGATCTTACAGATGTGCTTCAAACCCGTCAGTTTGCGTGACAGCAGCTCCTGGGCTCGGCCACCTTCACCTCCTCCTACTTTTCTACTGTTGAAGTCAGTCATTTTTTATATTTTATTTCTTCAATTTTCCTAGCAAACACTACTAAGTTTCCAGTTTTGTTTCCAAAGTGGGGGGCGGCCCCCTCTAAGGGCACAGAGCTATTGCAGATGTAGCCCAGTAAGGCAAGTTCATTTCAATATTTGTTTTTTATTTGTGCCATTGTGAAAACTTGCACTGAATTTAAACTTCATTTCCTGTGTTGTTCCCGTGAATATAGTCAGTGTCAGGGGCTGGAGAATATTGTAGTCCAAAGACAGACTCGTCACCACTGTATGGTTTCCTTAATGAAACTCTTAGAAATAGAATTAGCCTTATCATCTAACATTGGTGACAGGAGACTCGGAGTTGTGCCTGACTTGTTAGAGAAGGCTTCTGTTTGGCAACACTTTAACATCGTCAGATGGATTAAAGGTGTGGGTGAATTTCGACACAGGCCTCTTTTCAGCCTCACCGATCAGTTTTCTGTTCCTGGTCCAAACTGTGTTCTGTGGTATTTAATGGCTTGGAAACGAAACACCCCGGTGTCAGCGTTTAATATGAAACAACTTGGTATTTTAACAAGGGTTGAAACATTTTATTCTCCCTGTTCCAACATGTAGAGTCAGAAAGTCTGTTTGCACAAAATAAAAAAGACAACAAAGTTTTTTTTTTTTCTTAAAAAAAGAGCACATGAACAATCCATTCTCATCATGTTCATTCATACTGTACTGGAAGAAGTGAATGGAGTATTAATGGTCAGGTCACCAGTGAGTGCAGATGGAATAAGACACAGACAGACAGTCAGACAACGTCAACCCATCACCAGCACTGTCACCCTTCTGATGCACATAGCAGCTCATTGAGCGAGACACACTGGGACTGGGCTGAGTTACCGGACTTCACGGCTCATAGATCAGCAGAAATACCACTGGAGGTGGTTAGGCTTACACACACACACACCCACACACTCACACACAGGCTCACTCATTTATGTACAAAGGATTAATTTAGTGACAGCCAGCAGGAGAGACAGGGCAGCCCGGCCATTGAGCGAAAACTGATTCAGTGACCCTCAGAAGTGTGAATCAGCAAACATTCTTTTTCTCTGAAGGCAGAAGGGAAAATTTATGAATGGGTAAAGAACAAAAGAGAGACAAGAGGAAATGGCCAGAGGCAGGATGAGAGCATGGAGGAGGAGGAGGAGGAGGAGGAGGAGGAAGAAGAGAAAGAAAAACGAGAGGAAGGGGGAAGGAGGCGTGAGTCAGGGGGGTGAGGACGGCAGATAACGGGCAGAGGGGTTTTGCTGAGTAATCAGAAGACAGTCGTTAGTTACAGTAACACTACAACAGCGCCACACATACGGTGCTGTCTAGACACACACACACACACACACACACACACACCAACTTGGTGCCTTATCATACCATTCACTTGCTGCTTTTTCCATCTCTTCAAGATTTCTATGAAAATGTAATTTGATAACAGGAACTCTTCAGCATATTTAATTTCTTCTCTTTTTACATTTCTGTTGATGTACAATTTTTGTTTTTCTATTTCAAAGGGACAGTAGGACGTTTTGGTAAAAGGCTTTTTATGTTAACCAGTTAACAAAGCTTAGCACAACGGCTGAAAACAGACAAACAGCTCTGATCTGATTTGGTATCACGTATCGTTCCATCTCAGAGCATGATGGGTAGAAGTAATGTTTTTATATTATTGTTCAAACCCACTGCATGTCCACTAAGCCATCAATAAAGAAAAAAAAGTTGTCTGGGATCAGAAGAAAAGAATCCAGTGTAGTAGGAGTCTGGAAAAGGTTGACGGAACAGGTTACAGTCAAAGTGATTCAACTCGAGCGTCTCGTCCCTTACCATCTGCTCCTGCATCGATCTCTGCCCTCACAGTTCCTCAGAAGAATCACTCTTTCAAGTTGACCTGGAGAGAGAGACAGACAGACAGAGAGAGAGAGTCCTGTGATCATCATTAGTTCCTTTAACAGAAACGATTCCCAGTATATTCCCACAACAACGTCCTTACCATCGGAATGGTAATAAGAAGGAGCTAATCTGGCAAAATTGACTATTTGTATCCATTGTTAAATGCATTGGTTGAGGCCAGATGCAAATTTATTACCTTAGAATGAATATCATATTACAGTTTGCAGACAACTTTATTGATGGCTGAAAGGATGTTTACACTGTGGGTTTATTTAGCTGCATGATTCTAATAATGAAAACAAACAAAACAAACTATAGCATCTCTTTAAAACTGATCATGAATACAGATGTAGGACTGAAGTACTCTCTGCTGGTCTCTTATCGGATAAACAGAGAAGTAGGTATGACAGCATTCCTTAGTGAATGAAACAGGAGATACGCACTGGCCAGATAATAAATGACCTAGTCAAAAACAAGCTACCTCAAGAGAAACTAACAGAAAGTTCAACAAATATGTTCCAGAAGAAAATAATGGAATCTATTTTTCATCTCCAAAACAACTTATTGACTGACTCTTAAAAGCAAAGTTTGGATTTTTCCACCAATTTGCTCAACTCTAGGTTGTGTAAGGTCTTTAACAGAAACAAATGTTAAATAGATACAGCAGTATAATCCTATTGAGGTGGAAAACAACAGTAAAGTGAGGTCTTTAAAGGACATCAGGTTGTATGTATGTATTTTGAACTCTCATAAAAGACTATTTATTATCCCATATCAGGTCTATCAACAACAGCGCAGCCTTAGTGCAGGTGATGGAAACTCATTCCCATACAGTTACTCTATATCGTACTCTTAAATACCTGGTAGCTCTTATTGTATCTGTGTTCGTGCCGATGCTGTGCTGTTTGTGAGCGAAATCTGACGCTGAACCATAAATCCAAACTTACACTGAGGGGTATCTGTGTCAGCTCCTCCCTTCCGCTGATCGTAAATCTGACTTCAGTCTTTGTGCTAAGCTACGCTCACCTGGTTTGAGCCTTATAATCACAATGAACCAGGTGAGACAGACTGGCATCAGCCTCCTTCTGCCTCCTGTAGCTCTTCAAAAGAAAAGTGAGATTTGCCAAAATGTTCCAACTGTCTCTCTCAGTCACTCTGCACTTCTTTATACATAAAACACACGGACATGGAGCTGGATTTTTCTTCCAATCAAATACTGTTTTTTTTTTCTACATTGTGATTTACAGATGACTTAGTTTGTTGTTTTTAGATGAATCTATTGCCATGTCTTCGCGATGTGCCTTGGATGACGTGGCCAAAGGTTATAGATCATATCTATATAATATTTATTAAAGAAGATGTTTATTTATTTTTCTCCAGTGTGAAAATACTGTATTGTTACTCAAGAGAGAATAAATAGTGGCTTTTGTACAGAGCACGGTGTTATTGGTCATTTGGGAGCCCGTTGGGAGATGAGACAAAAATTGCATCTGGGATTTTTTGTTTGCAATGGTTTCAGTTTTATAGGGATGGTTACGGGTGATTGGCACAAGGGGAGAGGAGCCTTCTGGAAAACAAAGGACAGCTCACATCCACCGTGAAAAAAAATGAAGCGATTGAGGCGCGGTATGAGAGAGTTTTTATTTGTCTGTCCGGGTGAAAATTTACGATCGCTCTTTTCTTCCTTTCATCTCGCGATTCCCTCCTCCCACTGCATCATTCCTCCTCCCACTTTGCTTTCCTTTCTCATCACACTATCTCACGAAGCTCCTCTTCCTCCTCCGCCCGAAGAAACGTCCCCCTGACCTGTGACAGTCGAGGATTTACATGTGCGTTAACAGGCACAGGTAAGAGCACACCCTGTATAATCCCACCTCCAACTCTTATGTGACTGTCTCAAAGCCACCGATCCAAATAGGAAGCAACACTCTCTTCTAAAAATCCCGGTTCACCTGTTTTTATCAGACACTTTTTCTCTCTGCCCTAGCTTTACTGCTCTTTCATCCCCCTTCGACCTACTCCGCTGCCCCTCCCACCCCCTCCCGTTCCCTCTCCTCGCCTCAGGCCTCCTATTAAAGGATCAATGAGAATCTCCCCTCCATCACCTCCGAGGTCCACACCTGCAACCATCACACCACCCACATTGAGCGTGTGAGCCACAGAACCCTGGACTATACTCTGGCAAACAAACACAACCATAAAGTCTAAAAAGGCAGCATTAGTCAAACAGGAAGTGACTTATCATATACTATAAGCAGGTGACTGCGTCAGCTCTGACACACAGTCACACTCCCATGACTTTCACTATGTGGGTGGAAGGTGAAAACCTGACAAGGACGTGACACACACTGCATGTACACAGACCGAAGTGCACTGGTTCTATATGTATGTACAACACGCTACAGTGGGGTTTTTTTACGTTCAGACAGAATCAACTGAGGGACTGACTGTCAGTAGTCAACAAAGACAGCTTTGTATGGTCCGAGGGTCGGTATGTATGTACACTGTGAATGTGTGAGTGCGTGTGTGTGTGTTTGTGTGTGCCCGCCCCTGTGTGGGCTTGCAATTGCAGCACGTGTGTGAATCATTATCTGTATGTGTCAGAACTTCGTCGGAATGAGGCTTGTCATGCGCTGCTATCTAACAGCCATCACTCACCGTTTTCACCCTCTTTGTCTTTCCGTCTGTCAGCGTAGCACAGACAAATTGCTGTAACTAATACGTAACAGGATCGCTCAGCCATGCTGGTTGGCGAGTCCTTGGATGAGTGAGGAGCGAGTGACAAGATATCAGAATCATTGGCCTGTTGAGTCGATCAGACAACTGCTAAAAAAGAAGCGAAATTCTGAAATTTCTGTCTGTTTCTCTGAATGCCTGCTTGTGTAAATATCGGTGCAATAACCAACAAGTTGTTATAGTGGTTGTTTTCTTTTTTCTCTAATCAATCACTAGTCAAAACTAATCCAAAGACTGAGATCTGGTTCATTTAAATTTGACAAAAATCACTGCAGCAGAACGAGATGTGAGTGTTGTCCTTGCACATTGGCCCATGACACCACAGACATTATCTGACACTGACTGCTCCACCTGAACACACACCTGAGGAACCAGGGAAAACAATAACTACAGCTGCAAACTAAAAAAGTCAAAGTATACTGTATGTCATGAGCATCGTAGAGACTCGGTGTCTCTATGATCACAGACCGTATGTCACAGACGTCATCGCATCGGCCTAAATTTTTGAAGCCCCGTGGAATAGCCATTTCAGCTGCAGTTCTATTGCCGGCCAACAGGCGTCAGCACCTAAAATTAGTGGCTCTGTTAAATCCACTTAAAATAAAAAATCAATATTTTCCCCTCAAGCCATTTCAGGGACAGTATAATTGATCTTTTTTACCTTTGTCAAATATAACCAATATGACGGGGCTACCAAGTGTGGTATAAATAAATAAATAATATAAAATGTTTTAGGACGACATATTTATTCAGTCTCTGTCTCATTTATAGGGAATGAAAACAAATGTATTCTTATTTTTATACGAGTGCACATTCATAAAAACATCAGTCGGCTCATGTGACGTTTAATTTCTGCAACAGTGATTTTAACTGAATCCTACACAGCAAGTCTTTGGTTACCAGGGTGGCTGCTGACCAAATGTGGCCCACACAATTTCCTCGATTCAAACCTGTGCCCACTTTTAACCCAGGCATTCCAAGTGAACCCATGTGCAGCCCACATGGACACACTGGCCGGGTGTCAGAATCAGAAATACTTTATTGATCCCTGGAGGGAAGTTGTTGGTGGTACAGGTGTTCCTGGAAGCGCGACTGCAGA